TTCTGCCTGGGTCCTGAGTGACTACAGGGCTCAGGTGGCTGGGCTTAAGGTGTCAGGGGGACAGGTAGTCTTCTGCTCCGTCTTCTCAGTTACGAGTCATTGGTATAGGAGGGACAGATGCATAGAAGAAGTGAATAGAAGACTCTAGCACTGGTGCCACTGGGAGGGCTTTGGCTTTTTTCATACTACATGCCTCAAAGGCTGGCTTGTTGGGGAGAGATGACATCCACCTCATGCCGAAGAGGAAGAAGCTTTTCTCAGTTAGAATGGCAGACCTCCTGGATAGGGCTTTAAACTGAGATTACCATGGGACAGGCCAACTACTAGTACAAGTCCAAGAAATGGCAACCTTGGAACTAGCATACCATGGCAGAAGGTGAGCAGTGGCATCCCTCAGGGTTTAGTACTCGGACCAGTGATTTTCAACATGTTTATCAGTGATTTGGATTTGGGTGTTAAAAGCAAACTGGCAAAGTTTGTGGATGACACCAAATTATGGGGGAGTGTGGTCACACTCAAGGGTAGGCTGCAATACAGGCTTACCTGGACAGGCTTGCGAGGTGGGCAGTTCTTAACCTGTTAACATTTAATACGGAGAAAATGTAGTGTACCATCTGGGGAGAAATAATCTGCAACACACTTGGAGGCTCAGCAGTACTACACTTGCCAGCACCACAACTGAAAGAAACCTGCGTATCGTGATAGATCACAGAATGAACATGAGCCACCAGTGCGATGCTGTAGCTGGCAGAGTGAATCAAACACAGGCATGCATCTACTGATGCATCTCGAGGAAGACTAAGGATCTCATCCTCCCACTCTACTCAGTCTTGGTGAGACTGCAGCTGGAGTACTGTGTTCAGTTCTGGGTGTTGCACTTCAAGAAGGATGTGGAGAAGCTCACGAGGGTCCGAAGGAGGGACACGTGCATGATTAGAAGCCTAGAGACCAGGTCATACCAGGAGTAATAAGTATATCAGGGGTGTACATCAGGGTCTGGGGGTAGGGGTGCACCAATAGAATTTTTGGGGGGCTGATAACGATAGCCAGTTTTTCAGGAGGAATATTGGCTGAAACCAATCTGATTTCCGATACTTGCTTGAAGACTTGAGAGCAGAGTCCAGCTAGTAAGTCTGTTGTAGGGGCTGGGCCAGGCTGCACTCAGGGTGGGCAGTGGCAGCGCTGGGAGGAGGGCTATGGGGGGCATTGCAGCCACCCCAAAATTTGCCATAGCCCTCCAATCTCCCCTCCCAGCACTGCTGCTGCCTGCCTCAAATGCAGTGCAGCCCAGCCCCTGCTGGGAAGAGCCGGCACAGCCCTGGCCCCAGCCTTAAGTGGCAGCCCACCCCAACCCACACAGATCCATGGGCACATGCCCCCCCCCATGCTTTCCCAGGGTGCGTGCAGTGGCAGGAGCTGCGCCCCCAAGATGAGCTGCGGCTCTGTCCTATGCCCCGTCCTGCCATGCCTGGGCAGTGCCTGCTCCAGCCTCAGCCTCAGCCCCACTCCCTCCCTCACCATGGGGGCCTCGATCTGCCCCCTCCACACCCTTCCCTCCCCCCATCCCTTCCATCAAACAGAATTACCAGCTATGCAGCTCTCCAAGCTGCCAACCTGTGCTCCTGGCTGCCTATGTGCTGTGTTGTGGCTGCGCGTGTGCATCGGACAGTTATCAGTCACATTATCAACCATGAGGCAAAAAAAGCCAATCTCCAATACAGTTTTCTTATATAGGTGCACCTCTACTTGGAGGAGCATCTGTTCACCAAGGCACCCCGGGGGAAGACAAGAACAACAGGTACAAACTGATTGAAGATCTCTTCAGACTGGACATAAGGAAAAACTTCTTTACAGGTCGAATGTCAAGGGTCTGGAACAGGCCTCTCCCGGAGGTGGTATAGTAACCCACCGTGGCAATCTTCAAAAAGTGTCTTGACTCCCACCTTGCTCGGGTCATCTGACCCCAGCAGTCTTTCCTGCCCAAGTTCATGGGGGCTTGCCCTGATGATCTTGTAAGGTCCTTTCCAGCCACTAACATCTGTGAATCTATAAATTCTAGCAAAAGTTGTTACGTATACCACGTTGCCTGTGTTTGTGAATTAGTACAAATTAAAGAGTCCACCCATGATAAAGACCTTATTTGTTGTTCATCTTGCAAGGATAGAAAAAATTCTAGCTTCCCACTGTTAGCATTTGAAAGAGAACTTTTAAGAAAACCCATTTTTCACAGTTTTGAGGGAGTTATTTTAGTTATTTATACATACATACAATTTACACAGATATACTACAGTTGATACTAACAGCTTTCATTCTCTTTAAGTAAGTTCATTCTAAATGCCTAGTACAGGACCTCCAAGCAGCTGGGGACCCCACACCTCGCAGACTGCACTAGTGAAGGCCACACCAGGACTAGTCATGGGTCCTGGGTCATGTTGCTGCTGCAGTGCATGCCTGCACAGGCATCCCTCCCCCCGCACTGCTGCACCACATGCCTGCATGCCCTGTTCTTCCACTTTCCTGCTGCTGCACCACAAATCTATGCAGCACCAGACTCACCCTCCATTTCCAGCACTCTGTGCTGCACTGCCCCATCACCTGAGATGAGAGGAGGAAGCAGCAACTGGAGGAGGGAGAGGGAGCCCAGACATCGCTGTTGCAGCTGGAGTGGTAGGGAAAGTAGTGGCAGAGCAAGAGTTTCTCCAGGGGCTGCAACTTAACTCCTCCACAACCTCCTCAAAAACTCCTCTGCCAGTAGGACAGCCCTGACTACTGGAGTTTGTTTAGTCGGAGAGAAAAGGGCTAAGGTCTCTTTTTTTACCTAAATAAATAAGCAACCCCCTCAAAGTGAAAATCAAATGTGGCATGTTTATCTCAGAAGAGTTCCAAAGTGAAGCTTGCTGATCCACTTTCCTTTATTTGTATTCAGTGGCAAGGAAACTGCTCTTTATTTTTCTCAGAGTTACAAATATCTTAAGCCTCATAACATGTTTAATAGAATTTTCTAAGTAGTTCTGTAATCTTAAAGAGAAACATAAACAATGTAGGGTAGTTTTATTTTGAGTTTGAAGGAAAGATAATATCTTACTAGAAATTGATCATTATTATATAATATACAGTCTGCTATTATATAAACTATTATTTTTTTCCTATTCATTGTTGGCTCTTAAGCATAAAACAAATATATTAAGCACAGCAGGAAGAAGAAAAATGGACGGTGATTGGTGCAGACTGCCATAGTTTTTTAAAACAGAAATTACACAGTATAAACCAATGAGAATATTATAATGATTTTAAAAATATTTATTTTAATATTTATTTATTTAAATATTTTCCTCCCTGTACCTCAGCCTTTTGCCATCAGGCATCACTCTATCTTCTATCTCCTCCTGGATCATGCATCCTCTCAAAGTGTTCTTGGATGCTTGTATTCTTTCTCTCCTCCCCAGCTTTGATGGAAAAGATAAATCAAGATGCTACAGAAAGGGGGAAGAGGGAAGAAAAGTGGAAGGTTAAAAATCCTGTTATTAATTGATAGAAATTATAATGCCAAATAATATTTGATTGTGTTTCTTCACATGCACATACTTTTGGATGTCTGAGTCTAATTTGATTGTTGTTGGCTACTCAAAAAAATACTAGCAAGGTTACCTGCAATCTTCAGTCCTTCTTGGCTTCCTCCACATGCTAAAGGAAGAATATCGTTAACAAGTTCCTTTTTGTCTTTTGTGAGCTCCTGTGGGTAAAAGTGATAAGGTAGGAGAGAACTCCCTTTTCTGTCTAGGCATTCATAAGGGCAAAGAGCAAGAATAGCCCAGCAAGAAATGTTTCAGCGAAGTGCAGGAGTACGAGTTGTATCTATTTTACAGTTCTTCAATATTATACCACAACATAGATTTTCAGTGGAGGACACCTTTTCCAGCAGAGCAGAAAACTCCTACCCTTACGAATGAAACAGTTTTTCCTTCCAGTGCAGTTTATCCCCTATTTTAAAATAAAGCAGCTCTACCTAAATTATATTTCTTTATTCTTAATGTTTATAATAAAAAGTATAGTTTAGGAATTTTGTTCTGTAGTTAAAATCTGCATGTGCGCGTGCATGCATGTTTGTGTGAGAGAGAGAGAGAGAGCACGTGTGTGCATGCACTTGATTAGTAAGGTATTTTGATTCAATTTTTTTATTCAGATAGTAATCCATGGGGAGATAGTTAGTTGCTTAGACCCAATATATTGTTTTTTATGTTTAATAGATTAACTGTCCTATAAAGAGAGTAGACTCTTTTGATGTCCAAAAATGAAAACAAATTCCAGACAAAATTTATTTTGAAAAGGATGACAACATGTGGGGTCCCCATTGTGATCACAAGGTTCAGTGAACTGTACAGATGATGGAAGTATTCTGCAGGCTCTCCATGGTGCACAGCTACAACACCTTCCAGCCATTTGCTCTGTGGGACCTGCATCTTTTGATATGCTGAACATTTTTTATTGCCAGTGAAGTTAGCTAAGCCTTCTTTACTCACCGCTTGGCTGTGCAGTTTTTATTGATTGTTCTAAAACTGTTTCAGACCACATCAATGTTTAAATAAGTGCAACTTTATGCTATTATTTGTCATTGGTAAAAATTGGTATCAGAGTAGTGCCTGCAAACCAGGCCTTACACTTTAAGGCCTTTAGCCCCCAAGGGAATACTTACCACCATGTGTTACTGAGTTTCTAAAATAACAAATAATGTCAGCTGAAGTAACTTTCAATTTTATTTATATACATAATTTAGTAACATCTTGGTCAATTCCTTCTTCTTATGTTTACTACAGAAATGTCTTTCTTGGGCAATGGACTTTCATGGAAGACAGCTATAGAACTTCACACCACATATTGGCTGTATTCATTACTATAAAACCACTGTAAAATTAATCCTTCGAATTTATGTGTAGCTTATTTTAGCACAGTAAAAATGGAATCTCTAAACAACTTTAACTTTTCTTTTCCTTTCAACTAAGGAAATGCTACTTCACCGCAAGTACAAAGACCTTCCTTCATGGACTACTTTGATAAACAAGATTCCAAGAATAAAAGTCCTGATAACTGTAACCAGAACATGCCCTACCCCGTATCCAAAAATGTTTTTCCTGATAACTGGAAAGTCCCTCAAGATGGAGACTTTGATTTTGTAAGTACATTTTAAATATTTATTTTTCTAATGTTTAGGTCGTTACTTGTTGTTTATTTTATGTATACCAGAATTAATCCTTTCTATTAGTGTAAATAAAATAAGTCATTGTCCAGGGTCCTTCCAAATATTTCATACCTCCATGTACCAGGTGATAAATAAATATATTTGCCTAGTACAGAAGATAACTTTAAAGCTAAGAGTGATGAAACCATCAACATTCTTTGTAACTCTTATTTTCCTTTTAGTAAAAGTGCTCTTGGCACTTTTTAGTGTATATTGCATTGTATCTTTATCAGACTGCTCATTTGACTTAGGTATACTGAAGGCTTGAAAGCATTAACATACTGTTAATGTTGGGTTGGTTTAGTATTCAAATGAGACCTGTAAAAAGTTATTATTAAACATATTAAATGAGAGGGAACAATTTACCTATCTCCCAAGTAGATTAAATAAGATCACTTCTTGTATCCTTTGAGACCTTTGTTATGGATATGGTCTCTAACAATTCGTGTAAAACTCATCGTTCTGGGTGGAATGACTGCATCTGTAGAAATCATGCACAAATCTCTTTGTTCTTAGTTTCGCTGGCTTGCATAGTATCATTTTTATTTATTTTCATTTTGTCCACTTTACAAGATATGATAGAGACAAAAAGGAAACTGTTCCTAAGCCACTGGTAAACCTCAAAACATATATATAGTTTTGTGTGTATGTATATGTATGTATTTATGCATTTTAATCTAAATTAGTTTTATTATGGTGGTAATAAAGTTGTTTTTAGAATAGTTTGAAAAGTATGCTTGTTTTCACATACTGGCTAAGGATTTTAGCCAAAGGTGAACACCTTAGTAAATTATTTACTAAGGCCCTGATCTGGTTAACATAAATCTACATGAATAAATTTACTCTTGAATTATTCTTTTGAACTATATATGACTAACAGCATGTGTAAAGTTGCATGTATTGATAAGTGTTTGCAGGATTAAGCCTTAGGAAAGTGTATGTTGAGTGTAGCAGAGCACTTGCAATGCCTGCCACTTTAAGGGCTGAGTCAAGCAGCCAGCAGGTGCTTGATTGCAGCAGCCATTTTAAATCACTGGCTGCCTATATAAGTACAGCAGTTTGTTGCTGGCAGCCAGGCAGAAACATCGCCTGGCTGAAAGGCTGTACAACACATCCAGGAGGTAAGGGGAAGAGCTTATGGGGATGGCCAGGAGGCTCTTGGTCCTGGGCATGACCTAAAACTGCATCCTACCAGGAATGGGGGCCTGGTGGGGCTCCTAGTGGTGCAGGAGTCCCCAGGAAATGCCAGGTCAGTCACTGCCCTGGTGAAAGGCAGGTTGGGGTAACTTAACCCCTAGCCTCCACAACACTGTTGGTACAAGGGGGCCAAGCACAGCTACGGCCATCTGAGCCCAAAGAGGGTGTAAGACTCAGGCGGGGCCAGGCATGGCTGTGGCCACCTGAGCCTTCACAGGGGAGGGAAACCCTGGAGCCCTGAAGGAGGGAGTAGATGTGTAACCCCAGAGAGGGTGGTAGCGAGGGCCCAGATGAGGGTTGAATAGGGCTGAGGGTCAGCCTGAAAGGCAGCCCAAGGGAGTGTGCTAAGTAGGTCTGTGGGACAGCTTGAAGGGCAGTACATGAGCCAACCCCTGGAGAGCAATTTGAGAGAAGTGTGGAGCCCCAGAAAGGGGGAACAGAGGGCTGGAGCATAGTACATGGGGCTGGGGGCCCAGTGTGTGTTTGTGTATGTCTATGTAAGGCTGCCCTGGGAAGGGCTGGGCAAGTTTGGCCCAGGTGAGGAACTTGGCTGGCCACTACCCAGGTGAGGGTCATGGGAGAGGCCCAAAGGACTATGTCTGCCACCCAAGGCATGATCTAGATAAAGTCTGTGGTCTATGGGAGCCGCTCCAAGAGGGAGCAGGGTGGGATGTGTTGTCAATGTGAGAAAGAGACCCTGTGAGAGGGGGTAGAATGTGAGAGGCGGGCAATATGAATGTGTGTGTGAAAGAGGCCTGACAGTGAGGGCTAAGCTTGGCCTGGCTCTAGGCTGGGAGCATAATGACACTGTGGATGCCATCTGTGAGGCGTGGGCTGTGGTGTTGGGAAGCTTCTGAGCCGTAGATAGCACCCTCTGACGTCAGGGTATGTAATGGGCAGTCTCTTGCACTTTACCACCTGTTTTGAGAATAGCAAAGTCGTGGCAGGTGAGACGGGGCAGCCTGACCCATAGACAGGGGGGCAGGCCGGCATAAGATCCGGCCTCAAGAGCTGCCCCCTGTTACATTGAGCTATAGTCAATGAGCCTCCTCATTAGTTTAGCTTGTTTAAATTTCAAGTGAAATGATTAATGGAATGAATGAACGGGAACCTACAAAAATTACAAATATCATCTTACAATTTACCTACATTTCTAGTTGTTTATAACTTTTAAAAACATTAATACGTTCTTGCACAATAATTAATTTGAGGCACTTGTTATCACAAAGCATTACTGAGGCAAGGATAATCTACTTATATAGATAACAAGAATATCCAGACTTACAGCCTTTAAGGTTAACACTTTTGTTTTTAGGCAGAAGGCAGAGCAGAGAGCATGA